CAGCAGAAGGTTCTTATATATTTAATGCTGGGCAAAAATGTATTTAATGTGTTTTGCAGCATATTTGGTCACTATGGCTTGTATCTTTCCCTGAACAGTAGCTACATTGTGCAACAACCAGGATGCAACTATTTAGAGTGGTGTTCCTCTTACAAACTTCATGAATTTGATAGACGGACTGAAGGATCACCTGTCCTTAGGTATTTAGAATACGTTATCGTAAATGATTGAGAATGAGCAAGTTATGAAGCTGATGATCATGGTAATTCCCCAAATGTATTCTAAAATTCTACAACAAAATCACAGTAAAAACTGCACTTTTATGCAGGTAAAAGCAGTCTGCTCACTACTCCATCTTCAGCAGAACTACTGGTAATGCTTAAAACCTGCTGCTTTTCAAATAAATCAAAACCCAGAACCCTAAATGAAATAATAGTGTTTGCTATTAATACAAATAATCTGATGGGTGACTGAAATTTCAAATTTCAAGATACACAACTGCAGTAACCGAACTGCCACCATTTATACTTATCTTGAAAATAAAACCAGAAAGAGTATTTATAAAAAGAGATTGTGCTGTAACATACCTGACCCTGAGCACAAAGCCAAGCACAGTGACAGACTTCCTTCCCTTTCTTTAGATAAGTAAGGAACAGCAGAGCTTTACTCACGGAGCTGTGCCAGATTCTTCCTAATCTTGGGCTTCCTTTCCTGCACTGCCTATTGTTAATATTACAAAGTCACAGTATAGGAAACAGCCATCCTTATGAAAACTGGAACTGAAACAAAAACACCATTCATGCCTTTGAGTCTATACATGGACACATTTCGTAAGTGACACTAAACTTAAAACAGGCCTAATACATTTAACATTGAATTAAAAATGTTACGACAAAATCTTAGTTCAGTGGGGCTTCTGTTACATTAGAACTGTAAGCCTAATCCAAAGTTCAGACACTGATTTTCTTTATATATGTGCCTATCTACACTACCCCACAGCTGTTTAAACGAAAACTGTTTTCCCCAAGTAATTCAAGGAACATCTAATTATTTGGCCAGTTGAAAGGTGAAAAAGTATCTAGTCTAGTACCTTAAAAGCTTGCAAGAGAGCATGGCAGGGACAAGCAGAAGTACAATAAAATAAAGCTCGTAGGAGAGCCTAAATATGCTTCAGAGATGGGGAACTGATTAAAACTTGGATCAGAAACTTCAACTATAGATTTTACAAACTGGACAGCGATCGCAGAGTTCATTCAAAATGATTTAAAAAAAAAAACAAACAAAAGAGGAGGACGAAGAGCATTGCTTCTTGAGTTTACTCAGTGCTCAGGAGAATGTAACTCAATGCTTAAAAGAACATAAACATTTTACAACACCAAACAAATTATGTCACCTGAGTTTTAAGGATTGGGTTATATTATGTTCTTTGCTAAGTGGCTTGGCAAATTAATTAGCAGATTGAAGAAACAATGTTTTACAGATGGTGAAAACTGAAAGTTTTACTGTTTTCCGTTTAAAACTGATGACGAATTTGAAAAATACAAGGTGAAACACATTCCAAGCTGTCTTGAGACTGAACAATCCTTACTGGAAGATGAACACTGAAAATGATTGTATAGCAAAACTTCTCCTTCGTAGGTTACAAAACCCAAACTTTCTGCCCCCTGCTGTTTGAAACAGGGAAACATAAACTGGGATACAAATATGTTGAGAAGCATCGAGCAAAGGGCTGAGCCTAAAGCTGCTTGTGAGAAAATTATCTAGTTGGGTTGTTAGTTTTTCTGTGCACTTGGACTCTGCACCGGCATGAAGTTCGCCTGAATTTAATGGTCTGTCAAAAATGTGCCAGGGAGCCGTTTGCAAGTTGATTCCTTCATAGAACCAAAAATGACTGGACGTACGATCGAAGGGCAGTTCTGCGAAACACAGTTAAATTTGTGGTGAAACAAAACACACAAAGTTCTACACTGAGGGTGAGGGATCAAGTTCCATACTTAGTGAAACAGTAATACACGCGACATCCTCACGAATATTCAGAACTTAATTGACTGTAAATTGCTTTAAGATTAAAATACCACACTTCCTACAACCAAATTTGATTAGTCACTTCGAAAAAAGAAGTTACTTAACTTTCTAAGAGGCAAGTTGGAAGTAACTTTTTTCTGTTATAAAATCAACAATAAGTTCTTCCAGACTTGAAAAAAAACTAGTAGAGAAATGGCCTCAAATTTAACTTTGCTTTTAGTGGCCAGAAACCAGAGCAAATTTTAAAAAGCCTATTAAAAATGGAACGGGTTAAAAGTAGCAACATTACTTTTTTTTTTAAAAACAGCTTGTGAATAATGCTTCCTGTCTCTCTGTGTCTTGTTCAGGGGTTTCTGTCAAGCAATTGCAAATTCATGAGGGAAACAAGTTATGTTAAATACAGCTTTGTGTCTCACCTTTGTTTTTGGCTGGAGTTCAATTTAAAACTGAAAAATCCAGCTCTTATTTTACCACTGGCGATCAGTTACTGAAGCAGATGCCTTTCCGTCTCCAGCTTCAACTGCCCTGCAGAACAGCAGCTACACAAGCGGCGCAGTTCCAGCTCTGGCCACCCAAATTGGTGCCATTTCAACAGCAGCAAGCGTCACTTGCTGCGCATTTGTGCCAGTCGGCGCGTTTCGGACGCAATCCTGCGGCCTGCACGTCAGTACTGCTGCTGCAGCTGCAGAGCCCTCGGTAGCTGCCGTGTGCGCTATAAAGATGGGGAAAGGGGGGCTGCAGAGCTCTAGAGAGACCTGTTCCAGCCTCACACGATGGCCAGTCTACCTTTCTAATAATCAAGCTAAAACCCCTGGCTGCTGAGGAGCTGCTTTTCCAGGCTCAGTGCTTCTCCCCAGAACAAACTGGAAGGCACAATTCAAAAGCGACACCCTTGGGTCTGTTCCTGAATCACTGCCAGTTTGAGTTTCTCTGAATTTCACCCAGCTTCGAAGCTTAACCTTGACCATCCTCAATTCAGGTCGCCTTGTTAGAAGGAGCAAGACAATTCAGTGTCACAGTTTTTACTTCTACCCTACTGTAATAAGCGTCCAAAAACGGCAATGTGCAAGCTTTTTAACGACATTCTGCCGTCACAAAATCCGCTTTGAGCTCTCCGTTTTACTCACGATCACCGAGGGAAACCCTCCCCTTCTCTTCCAGCTCATGCTTCAGGACATGACGCACATGTGAACTGCCAGCACGTACACGATGCCAGGCAGCTCTATAGCAGCCAGTTTCCTTTTTTAAAGAAGCTTAAAAGACAGAAAGGAAACATGTTCAGATTCACAGGGCAAAGAGATGACACATGAAAAGCTTCTAAGACTTGTATCTGAAAGTTCTATTTTGCTGCCATGCTCCATTCTAGACTACGGCTACAGTGAGGGGAGATGGAACAAAGAGAAAACGCGGGCCTACATACAGACTGGTTTTGGTTTTCCTCTGAAAATGTAGGCCAATCCCATTAAAAAATACCAATCAGAAATCCCAAGTAGTAACACGTGATCACATTTAATTACCACATACTGTATGTGAAGAAAATCAGATGAGTCTATGAGGAAAGTCACCACACATGGATGGTAAATGAAGCATGTTGCCGATTTATATACAGCAGAGGAAATCACGTTTGCTCACACCACCACCCACTATATAAAGCCATTACAGAACACGCAGCTCCACGTTCTAGAAAACCGACTGGAAGCAGCAGTAACTGTTCCTAACCGAAGCACTTCTGCAATGCAGGCTTCGCTTGAAATAGTACCTCAAAGGTACAAAGACTCAAACCAGTAAGAAAACGCAGTGCCTTTGTGAATGCAGGAACCCAGCCAATGCAGCAATTTGTGGCATTGCTGTGAAAGGCGGTAACTGTCCAGTTATTGCCACAATCCGCACATTAAAGTTCTCTCTTGCCTACCTGTCTTCTCCAATATACTTTCAGGGCTTTATGATGCACCCTCACTAGTGCGTGAAGCATTAATTAGTAAAACTGCTTAACCTAGGTTTAGTCACAAAAGCTACAAAATAGCGCATTAGAATACAATTGAAAAGTGGCTTTTGACACAACCTTTGTTAGATACTTTGCTTAAAAATGGAAAAGCGTGATTCATGTCGCAATAGTCAGCTAGTCTTTCCTTTACAAGCACACTCTCCAAACAGGGGAACAAAAATTGTTGCATCACAACGTGAAGAGCAGGTTTAGTGGAAGTTAACACTAGTCCCGATCTGCCTCCTAGCCCACGGTTCTACTTTGGTCGTTTCTCAGGTCACCTTTACATATTGGTACACTAACTCACGTTTGGGCCGCTGCGTTTCCTACGGTAACTGCTCCCTGCAGAGAGCACGAGACTGCCTAGCAGGGGTTACAGCTGGCTTTGTTGAAGTGGGAGAGTCAGCTCCATTACTCTCGCTTTCCTGGTACGGGGAGGGTAGAAAAGCAGTGTAACACCCAGCCCTCGGGCTGTTGGAAACCTCTGGAAGAAGAGGGCAGTAGTCCCACATGTACTCTTACACATACACGAGTCTAGATGGAAGAAACATTCCTGTGAAGTATCACTCCCTCCAGTATAGTGCTGTCTTTTTAAAAAAAACTTCACAACAGAAGCAAAACCAAGGGAAAAAACTACTTGATAAATGGAAAAATAAATATGCAGCTTCATATAATATTGAGACAGCTCTACTTAACGTTGGAAAGCTCTTCAAGTAGAACTATACTAATTTAGAGCTAAAGAAATTCTTGGCATAGCGTGCTGAGTTTCTGCACGTACAAATACAGCACAGCCAATGACCTGTGCTGTATCAGACAGGCGTGTAAAGTTAGCATCAGAGGACATTCAACAATAATTACTGGCTCAAGATCCTGGCCCAGGAAAGCATTTCATCTGACCCAGATGTTTATTTTTCCTCAAAATGTATTTGTGAACATCGTTTTTAGTTGTTTCACAAACTGCTTTGCAGGACAAAGCCCCCACCAGTCAGTGCTATTTCATGTTGCGCACTATTCTCCTGCAGTGGTTTGTCTTCATTTCCCCCAGCGCTTGTTCCAGTTGCTGAATGAGGTGGAGGAGGGTAGAAGGGTCGGTTTGCAACACTTGGGCAGTTTGATCTTCGTTCTGACTCAGGTGTAGCTTTATCGTCACGGCAGGCTTAATCTGTTGTCTCAAGCTTCTGCTTGCAAGCTGTGTGAGGGAGTTTGGGTGAAAGGGGAACAGGGACACAAACAAAAGGCCGTTACTGACTTTGGCACTTACCCTTCGCAACAGGTTTGCAGGACCTGCATGCAGGACTGTTTAAAAATCCTCTTAATTCATGTTAAAGAGATAGCTTTTATCGTTAGGCAATACTAGTCCACTTTAGTCAGTGGACTGATTAAATTAGGTGAAAATTAAGACAGCACGTGTTTAGTATACGCCAACATTTTTAAAACACCAGTGAAGCTATGAATTCAGTTTTCATAAAGCAATATACACCTTGTATCATTAGATATCCTGTTAATCTCGTAACGAGCCATCTTTGGGGCAATAACAAAATTATGTCCGTTTTAAACACATGAAAAACTGCTGCCTCAATTACTTTGAAATAATATAAATTCATTGTTTAGTAGTTGTTCATGAGGTTACAAAAATATGACGTTGACGGGTCTGCCTGAGACACAGCCCCCATCGTGCCAGGTAACACGGCAGTGGCGTGACAGCAGCGGACAAGGGCTCGCAGCATCACAGCCGCCTCCCCAGCATCTCCCCACAGGCTGGGGGCAGGGAGAGCTTGGGAGGGGTTGTAGCCAGGACAGCTGACCCACATGGACCAAAGGGATGTTCCACACCACACAACATCTGCTCAGCAATGTAAGCTGGGGAAAAGAGGCAGAAGTGGGGGGACGTTCGTTTTACATCTGTCGCCCGGAGCAGCCGCTGCGCGTACCGGAGCCCTGCTTCCCAGGCAGCAGCTGGACATCGCCTGCCAATGGGGAGTAGACAATAAAATCTCATGTTTTCTTTTGCTTCCATGTGCGGCTTTTACTTTATTAAACTGACTTTATCTGACCCACGTGCCTGGTATATTTTCTCTCTCTTGTCCAGCTGAGTGGGGCGAGAGTGACAGAGTGGCTTTGGTGGGCACCTGGCATCTGGCCAGGGCCAAACCACCGCAGAAGTACAATGCATACTGCTGAAAACACAACAGAAGTCACCTGCACATCCAGTCTCCATTCCAGACTGTGATAGCTGGGAAGCTTCGGTGCCAGCTCACCGAGAATGCTTCTGATCTCCTTCCTGTTATCGAGGTACAGCTGGAGCAGTAATTTGTTCAAGTCATCAGAGAACCCCAGCACATGAATGGAATCTTGGAAGTCTATCTCCGAAATCTAGAAATAACGATTTAGGCCTTAATACAGAACTGTACAATAATCATTATTTGTTGAGAAACAAATAAAACTGCAAGTAAACATGACATATGGAATGGTGCAGTTATGTTCCCGCAGGAACATGTGAGGACAATTCTACAGCTGGGCCAAACAAATCATCCAGGCTCTAAGTGATTTACACATGTTGATGTACGACTGCTGATTTGCATGAGCTTCGGGAACAGTTTTAGATCAGTATTTTAAAAAGAAAACCATTCAACATCCCCACATTTAAGCCTTCACATCAGAGCATGGAATGCAACACAGAGAAGCATCTGAGCTTTATCTCACCGAGTACATACTTTGATCATCAATCTATCAACAGAACGCTAACAGAATATTGATCCTCCAGTTATGAAAACTGCTCTGACTGGCCGCACACAGAAGCGAGCGCCAGACACAGCCTTAAGGCTCACGTTACAGTAACTCAGAGCGGCCCCAAGACGCCGGTCCCCACAGCTCAATGCTTCTGGGCTGAACTGGAGAAGCTTGGTTCGTCACTGTGGGAGCAGTTACTTGTTAACACGAAACATCACCCTGTCCCAACACAGTCGTACTGTAAGCTGTGATTGACTATGGACTCCCGTAACACACTGCACTTTGTCTGTCAGTCAGGTCGCCTCATGTCAAGGGAAGATTCTGCAGTATTTCAGTCCCTTCCCCACTGCCCTTCAGAACAACGCCTGCTTGAGTTTATTTCGAATTCTTTGTCTGTATATCCCTTCTCCATGTTTTCATTTTTCAAATATTCTACTACACCAACTGCAAAAAGTCTTTCCAATGGAAACAGTAATTATCCAACTATTCTTCATTTAACATCTCGCTTAGGATGAAAGGCTGAGGGAGCTGGGTCTCCTTAGCTTGGAGGAGAGGAGACTGAAGGGTGACCTCACTAATGTTTATAAATACATAAAGGGCGAGTGTCAGGAGGATGGAGCCGGGTTCTTCTCAGTGATGGCCAATGACAGGACAAGGGGCAACAGGTGCAAGCTGGAGCACAGGAGGTTCCACATGAACATAAGGAAAAACTTTTTCCCCTGTGAGAGTGGCAGAGCACTGGAACAGGCTGCCCAGAGAGGCTGTGGAGTTTCCTTCTCTGGAGACATTCAAAACCCGCCTGGACGCGTTCCTGTGTGATCTACTCTAGGTGGTCCTGCTCTGGCACAGGGGGGTTGGACTAGAGGGTCTTTCAAGGTCCCTTCCAACCCCTGACATTCTGTGATCTGCTTACATTCACCCAAACTTCTGGTGACAGGAGGTGAAAAAGCTCTCAAACCTGCCATATCCGACAAACATAAGGAGTCCTGAAGAGGGGGTTAGTAAAGCACACACCCTGTGCAGAAGCTGAACAAGAAAATCCTCACTCAAGTTTTATTATTTAGACAAAGCTTAATCCTGAAGTATGCTTCTCTGTACGGACTAAATGACTGCCTGTTCTTGCTCATGCTATGAAATACAAATTCCAGTCACCCAAGCAGATGCAGTGTTTCAGTAAGAGAACAGCATGAGACACCTTTTTAATTAAAAGAATACATGTGGTCAGGATTTTGAGGTAGGTTTTCCAAATTCACAAGTATTTTAAGAGCCCTAAGCGTTCAAAAGACATCTTTTAAGTGCCCCCCTGAGCGCAACACACAAAGGCATCCTCACCATAAGCTTGGAGCTTTCAGTAAGCAGATAGGTCAGTCCTTCCACCCCATGGTGAACAGCGTCGACACCGACGTCCAGTTTTCCTCCAAGGAAGCAGAGAGCACCCCTTACTCCTCGTTAAGCTGCCACAGCAGCAGGAGGTGACAACGCAAATTTATCCAAAGCCAGCTTGCAATGTACACATGGGGAGGGAGGGTGTAGAAGGTTGCACACCCTTCGAACAGCGTGAGGGGGTCAAACCGCAGCTGGACGCCCCCAGTCCCGTTTCCGCCCGCCCGCCCGCCCGCGGCCTAGGCCG